CACCACCACCACCACCCCACAACACCATCAATGTTGTCATTGCCGCCACCTTCCCAAATCTATGTTATTTTACAAATTAGTTCCTGTTGCATTTAAACTGTAACTCACACTATGTATTATTGTGGTTACAATATATATAATCTATAATATGGCCTTGTATGGGAGGGATTAAAATCGGATTAAAATTGAAAATATAGCCGTTATTGTTGACTTTTATTAGACGAGTGGGACCCAATAACGGTCATATTTTCAATTTTAATTGGCTTTTAATCCCTCCCGAACGGGGCCTATATTAGATATCACATCAAGTGAGAATTATTTTCTAGACAATTTTAGCCATACTACAATTTAATCATTTCAATATTAAAGACTTTTCGTTTTTCAATATATATTTAATTGAATATTAATTATTAAACGTGCACGCAAATAAATAATTGAATTGTATGAGAACAATCAAATTGATTCATGAATATAAAATTTAATTAATTTGAATCAATGAATATAGAAAAAGAATAATGTATATACATTTAAACAAATGGGGCGTAAGTGAACTAACATGAAATTTAATTAATTTGAATTAATAGATATAAAACAATAATATTTTATATACATTTAAATAATGGGGGTGGACATGATCCAACATGTAATTTAATTAATTTTAATAAATGAATATAGAAAAAGAATAATTTATATATATTTAGACAAATGGCATTATATCATAGATTAAATGAATAATATTGAAATTAAATAAGTGTACATGAACTTGAATAATACATCTACTCATATAATAATTAAATAGCTCCCGACTTATATGATCTTTAATAATTTATATACTCCTAAAATAATTTATGATAAAATGAAAAATCTTAAAAATAAATACGTGTTCAACTTGAATAATTTGTTTACTCGTAGAATAATTGAATAGCTCCCAAAATATGTGTACAAGAACTTGATTACTTAATGTTATATTTAATATATCCATAAATAAATGTTAATTAGTGTACATGCACATACATAAATAATTAAATTGTAGTATTTTTAGAGTAATTGAACAGATCTCAAAATATATAAAGTGTACATACATGAACTTGAATAATTAATTGATTGAATTATAGTAGGATGTATATAAATTAATTTTAATTATTATCATACACATAAATAAATAAATAATTGAATTGTATAAAAAGTTCATTTCACATAAACAATTTTTAAAACTATTTTTTATATTAACTGATTTTCAAATATTATTTTTACGGTGTTTATAGAGCATTTCAAAATAACGTGCAACGCACGTTTAGCTGTGACTAGTTTCTTTAAAAGTTATAACTTAAATTTTTTGCACCAACATTTTGATTCGATACTTAAAATAAGTTTATTATTGATTAAACGAGCGAATTTCAACTCACAATTGTGTAATTATGATTTTTGTAGGCAAAAACATCCAATTTAAATAGAACAAGGCAAAAGGAAGAGAAGTGACTAAAATTGTACAAAAATCTTGAATTTGGGGACCAAAGTACTAAAATTTGAAGGACTATGGATGCAATTTATTAAGGGTGTATTTGAAAGAAAAGTAAAAAAAATTGGGATCCAAATTGTACAAGATCAAAGTTGAAGGACCTAATGTATAATTACTTGGGAATTTAGCTACAAGATGAAACTTGCGAACACAACAAATTTTGGACGGAAAGGTAGTGCCTAGGCGCCACTTGTTTTTCGTCATTAAATTATGGGGGACGTTTTCAGGCTTCTAAAAGGCAGCCAAACGAAGGGGGATTATCATTTTTCATTCTTCACTTTTCTCTTTTCTTTTAATTGTACTTTCATCTTGGGATAGGAAAAATGGGATGAACTCGGGCGCAAAAGGGAGAAAAATAAAGAAAAGTAGAGAGATCTTGGGTAATCAAGCCATTGCAACCTTCAAAAATCCATCAAAAAGATGGATTTTATCTTAAATTTTGTTTTCCATCCATTATTGTCTCCAATTTGTAATGTAATATAATGAATTTTCTAATATTTTAATCATATATATCACTATATATTAAAAGAGGCAAAGTAAAGGTGACACGTGTCACAATTTCTCATCGTTGTCAAAAATCCCCCTTTAAAAACAAAAAAAAAAAAGAATTCCCTGAAATTCGTCAAAAATTCCCGCATCGCCATTCCTCTTTCTCCATTATATCGCACAACCACTCACTCCTCCTTCATTTCCCACATAACCTCCCATTGCAAACTTCTCCTTAGATTTTTTGCTCCAACCTCGTGCATTTCCTTAGGTTTGTATTATATTTTCCCCATTTCTTTGTGACATTATATAATCATTTATTTATATTAATTTTCAGTGCCCAACTCGGAATCCACAGTTTGCTTCAACGCCAATTGCTCTTTCTTTCAACACTAAGCTCATTCATTGAATTAGTTCAATTTTTTATTATGATTTTCATGTATACATGTATTTGATTTTCATGTATTTTGAATGTGGGGTTATATGGCAGAGGCTTATAGTCAAAGTTACAGAGAATGATAACAACGAAGGTATGCTGTTTTTTCCTGTTGCTTTTTTAGACTTTTGTTTAGTACATTTGTATCTTTGTGTTTTTTTTTGGAGTTTGATTCGATCAGTGTGCTTCTTGACTAAAAAATGAGTAGTAGATTGTTATCTTTATCTGAAAAAATGAGAGAAAAATAAAAGGAATGTGTTAAGCTAAAATGTGTGTTTGAATGGATCTTTGAAATATACCAGATGAAGCAACGACTGGGAGTGGTTCAAGCATTAATCAGATACTTGGTATTGAAGGAGCCAAGCAAGAAGCAGTGAGATTTGAATATTTACATTTAATGGTTTAATACACTTTACTCGTTATCTTGAGTATTGTTCGCGTGAAACCCGCAAGCGTACGGGATCGTTGTACAAATAATAAGATTTGTGAGTTAAGAATATCGTTCCCACGAGGAATAAGGTCTAATTTGTAGTTCAATAGCTACTATTAAATTCGAAGTGTGGTAATATAAAAAAAAAGTGATTTGTATGTAATCTATATTAATCATAAACTAACAAAACAAATAAAGTGTTTATCTAATATGTAAATGTTTGTATTGAAATCGTGAATCCCCCTATTACCATTTATTTCAATTCTTAATTCGTAATCTAGTAAATTCATGCATTCAAGACAATCGGTAATCCACTTTTATTCAATATTCTTTTCCAAAATATATTAAACCTATGTTTAACACAACCCGATCCTATTCCTAGTCCGAATTCATATGAAAAACATGCATTGAATCACATGATTTATCACACATGATTGCACATGCCATAGATATTATTCCTAATACCTATTGTCCATGTGTTGATTTTGCCGCGTTCTAGACTTATTGTGAGTATTCCTACACTA